AAATAAATGTGAATGGTAGTAATTGCCTCATGATTTTCTGCTCCACGAGTGCAAAATAGGGAAACACTCTTTTATGAATTTAGTTGTTTCAGTTTTTGTTTTACTGTGAAATATACACACACACACAAAGTACATGAAACATAAATTTACAGTTTAACAAGAAAAACCTATAAAGTGAAACTGATCCAGCCACAGCTCAGGCCAAGAGACAGAACATTGCCAAGACTAGAAGCTCCCCTCTGCCTGGAGGAAAGCACTGGCCTGGCTTTTAGGACAATCGTTTTCTTATTTTTCCTTGTAGTTTTACCACTGTGCTTATTTTAAACTTTTGTACATCACATGTATTGTGGTGTAATCTGTATTAAAAAATGCTCCATTTAAAGAATACGGTTTAGTGAGTTTTGGAAATGTATGGACCTATGTTACCACCACTTCCATCAAGATACAGAATTTACATTTACTCAAAAAAAGTTTCCTTGTGTCTGTCTGCCATAAATCCCAACCCCAGACTGCCACAGATCTGCTTTCTGTCTCTGTAGGTTAGTTTTGCCTCCAATAGACTTTTATTTAAGTGCAACCATATAGTATATATTGGCTTCTTTCCTTAGCATAATCTATATCTGATTTTTAATATATATAGACAGAACTATAATGTGTGTTATGATTGTTTTGTGTCTTGCTTTTTTGTTCAACACGAAGTTTGTAAAATTCATCCGTAAACTTGCATGTACCTATAATTCATTCATTTTTATTGCTGTATGTAAACCACTGAATGACTATAGTGTAACTTACTTATGCTTTCTGTTATTAATAGATAGCTGTGCTGTTCTACAGTTCCGCTGCTGTCATGTATTGATTTTGTAAGGTGATTTTTATATCCAGCTAGTTCGCTAATCCTTTTTTTTAAGTATTATTGATTTACAATGTTGTGTTAGTTTCCAATATACAGCTTAGTGATTCATTTATATGTTTATATCTATATATATTCATTTTCATATTCTTTTTCAGTATAGGTTATTACAAGATATTTCATATAGTTCCCTGTGCCCTACAGTAGGAATCCATTGTTGATCTATTTTATATATAGCAGTTTGTATCTGCAAATCTCAAACTCCTCATTTATCCCTCCCCACCTCTCTCCCACGCTGGTAACCATACGTTTGTTCTCTATGTCTGTGAGTGTGTTTCTGCCCTGTAAATAAGTTCATATTTTTAGATTCCACATATAAGTGATACTGTATGGTATTTGTCTTTCTCTTTCTGACTTATTTCACTTAGTATGATAATCTTAAGGTCCATCCATGTTGGCTAATTCTTGATATTTACTGGATGCAGTGTCCTAGGCTGTCAGGAAGTTTCTTAATAAAAATATTTCTCTCACTTTCTGTCATCCATCAGACATCACAATTTGCCTTTTTAAAAATACTGAATGTTGAGATACATAAAACAAAAGTCACATAAACACGTGATTTCACATACATATATCCCTAGTATTTGAATACGACTACAGCTTTATGCTATGTAAACAGTGTAGCCCCTTAAGGCCCAAACATAAGAGGAAGTTTGACAGAGAGAAGTAGGGTTAGAAAGAGACAGCAATCTTATCTGCTCACTGTTAAAATATCTTACTTTTGCAAATGGTATAGAAACATACGATCACGTTGTCAAAGGATGGAACCACCATTCAATATCGGAAAGAAAGCCATACATACACACACACACACACACACACACACGCACGCACGCACGCACACAGAGCTGAAACTTTTTGCTTACTTTGATCAGGCACAGCCTCTCCGAGTGGAGCCGACTGATCTACACAGGGCTTTGGTAAGGGAGCAGTTCTGGTCTTGGTGACTTTCAGGGGGGAAGGGGGTTGACATCATCTGTAGAAGTGGTTACCAGGTGAGACTCTTGTTGGTTGATTGACATTCAGAGGCATGTTCACTGGAGTGAATCTCTGACTGGCTGACTTTCAAGAGGGAGTGGCTGACACCGATGGGTTACTTTCCCTGAGGCAAGTGTCCTTGATCTGTTAAACAGGAGTGTAAAACCAGTTCTGATGGCTTCTTCCTACTAAGGCTACAGAACACCAGTTTTTACGTAAGAGCACTGGATATGTTTCAGTTGAGACTAAAGATCCTCAATTTGAAACATATCCAAGGTCCTCCAGGCGCCTTAGAAGAGGTTGGTATTAATGAGGGGCCCGAATGCGCAAGTTGCACTGATTTCATGGTAAACCCACCTTTGAGGACAGGATCACGACTATTTCACCTCCACCCAAAAGTGTGATCCTTCCGGTCCCTGCTTACGCGTTGAGAGTATTATCCTCCAGATTCCCCGCCTCGGGTAGGAGACATGGAATCATACCTCCACTGGAATGCAGGGCTGTCAAAAGCAAGGACCATTTATAAAGTTTTGTTTTTTCTGGATGGATGAAAGTAATCAGGGCAAAAGTGGCTTGACGTTGTCCCTGAGTTTTCACTTCCCTTAGATTTTGACTTAGTGGACCTTTGTTATGCGTGATTACTCCTTTATGTCTGTACAAGCTATTTTTAATCTAGCATTTAAAATTCAAAGAGGAATGAGATATAGCACTCTCTCCTTATCCGCAAAGGATAGGTTCCAAGAGCCCCAGTGAATGCTGTGAAACTGTGGGTAGTAAGTACTGAACCCTGTGTATACCATGTTTTTTCCTGTACGTACATACCTGTGATAAAGTTTAATTTACAGATTAGGTACAGTAAGAAATTAACAATAAGTAATAATAAAATAGAACAATTATAACAATATACTACATAAAAGTTATGTGAATATGGTCTCTCTCTCTCTCTCTCTCAATAGCTTATTGTATAAATTTAATGCCTTTTCCATCTTAACTAAGCACTTACTATGCACTGCGGCCATAACTTTTGCAGTTTGAGTTGCAGTAGTAAAACTAACATGAATTTTTTTCCTTCTTCACAATTTCACAAAAGGAAGATTTGTTCTTGCAGTAGATCTTGTCAACCTTAGTACAAAGTTTTTTTCTTGCTTTAGTACATCAAGAACTTTCACCTTTTCACTTAAAGGAAAGACTTTATGGCTTCTCTTTGGCATATGTGAATTGCCAGCATCACTACTTTTACACTTTATTAGGTAAAGGTCATTATTAGGTAAAATAAGGGATTCTTGAACACAAACACTGGAATAACTTGATAGTCAGGCTAACAACCAAGATGGCTAGTAAGTGATGAGGGGCGGAACACACTGGACAAAGGGATTATTCACATCCCAGGCGGAACTGAGAAGGACAGCACAAGATTTCATCATGCTATTCTGAACAACATGCAATTTAAAACTTAGGAATTTTCTATTTCTGGAATTTTCCACTTAACATTTTCAGACCGTGGTTGACCGTGGGTAACTGAAACCCCTGAAACTGAAACTGCACGTTAGGGGGGTCTACTGTACCACTTCAGACCAATTAGAATGTCAAAAAATAATAATAGTAACAAGTTGGCAAGGGTGTGAAGAAATCGGAACCCTTGGACACCTGATAGTAATGTAAAATGGTGTAGCTATTATGGAAAACAGTATGGTGGTTCCTGAAAAAAATTAAAAATAGAATTACTATATGGTCCAGCAATTCTACTGCTGGGTATATGTCCAAAAGAATTGAAAGCAGGGTTTTGAAGAGATAGTTGCATTTCTTCATGTGCCTATTTTGTTCTTTTCCTTCAGTATTGTGTTGGCTATTCTGGATCTCCTGCCTCTCCGTACAAATTTTAGTCTCTTCAATAAATCATGCTAGAACAACTGGACATGTACACGCAAAAAAAAAAAGAATCTAGACACAGATGTTATATCCTTCAAAAAATTTAACTCAAAATGGATCATAGATAAACCTAAATGTAAAATGCAAAAATATAAGGCTCCTAGAAATTAACGTAAGAGAAAACCTAGATGATCTTGTATATGCTGGTATCTTTTATATACAACACCAAAACATAATCAATGGAAGAAATAATTGATAAACTGGACTTAGTTAAAATTAAAAAATTCTGTTCTGTGAAAGACAATAGCCAGAGAATTAGAAGACAAGCCACAGGAGGGAGAAAATATTTGCAAAAGACACATCTGATAAAGGACTGTTATCCAAAATATACAAACCAAAAAAAAAAAATAAAATAAAACCTTAAAACTCAACAATAAAAAAAAACAAACAACCCAATTTAAAAATGGGCCAAACACCTCAACAGACGACACCTCACTGAAGAAGATATACAGATGACAAATAAGCATATGAAAGGATACTCCACATATGTCATCAGGAAAATGCAAATCGAAATGAGATACCACTATACACCTCTTAGAATGGCTGCAGTCTGGAGCACCGACAACACCAAATGCTGGCAAAGATGTGGAGCAAAAGGAATTCTCATTCATTGCTGGTGGGAATGCAAAATGGTGCAGCCACTTTGGCAGATGGGAGGTTTCTTACAAAACTAAACATACTCTTACCATACAGTCCAGCAATTATGCTCCTTGGTATTTACCTAAAGAAGATGAAAACTTATGTCCGCACCAAACCCTGCACATTGATATTTATAGAAGCCTTAACCATAATTGCCCAAACTGGAAAGCAGCCAAGATGTCCTTCAGTAGGTGAATGGATAAAGTGTGGTGCCTCCAGACATTGGAATATTACTCAGTGCTAAGAAATATATGAGCTATCAAGCCCTGAGAAGACATGGAGGAATCTTAAATGCATATTGCTAAGTGCAAGAAGCCAATCTGAGAAGGCTACATACTGTATTATTCCAACTATATAACGTTCTGGAAAAGGCAAAACTATAGAGACAATAAAAAGATCAGTGGTTGCCCGGGATGGGGGCAGGGGTGGGGAATGAGGGAAACAAGATGAATAGGCAGAGCACAGACCTTTTTTAGGGCAGTGAAGATACTCTATATGATATAATGATGGATATATGTCATTATACATTTGTTCAAACCCACAGAATATACAACTGAATCCTAAGGTAAACTGTGGACTTCGGAGGATTCTGATGTGTCGGAGGTTCATCCTTGGTGAAAAATGTACCACATGGTGAGTGATGTTGATAAAGGGAGAGGCTATGCATGTGTGTGGGCAACTCTAAGAGTTAGGAATTATTAGCCCCATTTTGCAAAGGATGACCTTGAATCTCAGATCTAGCTGACCTAGGATTACACAGCTGCTAAGTAAGTGGTAGAGCTGAAAGCAAAAACCAAGTTTGTTACTCCAAAGCCCGTGTCCTCTAGACACACGGGTCCCCAGAATGGTTCTGTGGATCAAGCTGCCTCGAGACAGAGTTTCACCATGGATGAAGAAAAGAAAACAATAAAGGCAATGCAATAATTTTTCTATTTAAAAAAAAAACTTTTTACATTAATAGGGTGTTCCAAATACTGTAATTTTTCCCCTTGTACGTTTTAGAATTAAAATAATTTTTTCTTCTCTTATGAATCGATGGGGATAGTAGATGGTAGTTATCACTCTTTTTTAGGATCCCAGTATCTAAACCCTATTCCTATATTTGGAAATTTCTGTGCTGTATAAATCTTGAAACCCTTCTCTCCAGCCCTGGACGCTCACTCTCTCATCTTTCTTGCAGTGAGAACAAAAGCCCCTGTGCTGTGCTCCGCTAATTATAAGTTCACACCAGTCTTTGAACTGGAAGTGGCATTATAAAGCAAGGGCTGCCCAGCATCCATTCGGGGGAGGAGTGGTGGAGGCTGCAATGACTATATCTAGTTCCCAGGGCCATGGGTCCATTCGTGGAGCCATCCAGCAGCAGCATTGGTGATGTTAGCGGTTGACCTGTGTCATCTACCGCTTAACGACACTGGCCATGGCTGTGGGGTCTTCATCATATCAAAGATTTGGACAGTGTTCTTGATAGCTTGGCCCTAAGTTTCCAGCCCTCCTGGTGATTCTGTGAGCCACACAAAACTCTTATCATAAGTTCTTTCCTACTTAAATCTGACAGAATTAGTTTCTATTGCTTGCAGCTAAGAACCCTCGCTGTGAGAGTAGTTATTTGATTTTTCATTTGTTTTAATATTCATTCTTGACAAGCTAAAAGGTGTCAACATTAATCAGTTCCCTCAATTTTGGAAAAAGAAGAAATACTTGTTTATAGAATAAAAAATATTTAGGAACCACTGTTATATACTATAATGCCCTAAGTTGTGCATTCAAAACTCTAGCTAGTGAATGATGAAAATGACTTAAACCAAATTGATATTATTTTGGACTAGTATAGTGAACATAACTTGGGATAACCATGTGGTGTATATTATTTAGTTGTTAATATGGCCAAAGTAACCAGGCTGACTCTCGCAACAAGTCTGTCTTCTTATCAAACAAACCAGATTGACTATGTGTCTACATAATTGCTTTCTCACCTGCCGTGAACTGTTTGATTCAGTTAACAATATAGATCAGCTCCTCTTTTTTTTAATGGTTAAAACAGCATGCAATTAATTAACTAATTACTGTATTGATTAATTATATTTACTTACCGAGTAGAGCTATAGGTTTTCCCCAAGCCAGAAGCCTGGCATGCACAAAAGACATGAAGCTTACGATCTCAATTATAAGCCATTCTTTCCATCTCCCGTGCAGCCACCATCAGTGGCCAACCACCATGACTTCTTGTCTGGGCTTTTGTAATTGCTCCCTAGCTAGTCTCTTTTTTTCTACTCTTGCTCTTCTGCAATCCATTTTCCATTGAAGAACTAGGGCATTCTTTTAAAACATTGATTGGATCATATTATTGCTCTGCTATAAATCCTTCAAAAATTTTTTCAGTATCCTTAGCTTTAAATCCAAAGTTCTCAACACAACCTGGAAGGACCCATGTGATCTGCTTATATTTATAATCTTATCTCACTCCTGCCACTTGTCCCCACGATGTCCCAAACGTACTGTCCTCTCAGTTCCTCAAGTGCTTTCATCTCTTTCGTGACTCAAGGCCTTTAAACATATGATTTCTTCTACCTGAAATGTTTCTCTGCCTCCTGTTCACCTGGCTGACCCCTCCTTAGACCTCACCGTTTTAGATTTCACTTTCTCGGGACATCTTCTTTGACCACTTAATTTAAGACAGACCACTGATTCACTCTCTCAGTACATCTGAAAGTTTTCTTTCTTAGATCTTGTTGCAGTCTGTAATTCTGTATTTACATGTTTGTTTACTTATTTCATGTCTGTCTCCTCCACAGTAGTCTGTAAGCTTTAAGAAGACAGGGCCCATGCCTGTCTTGTTTACTACCTGGCATTCAGCAAAGCACCTTGTATGGGCTCCCTAAACATTTGTTGAATGAATGAATGAATTAGCAGACTTATACAGTATACAAAGAATCCAAGGCTTATACAATTCCATGTAAAAAAATGTTGTTTGGAACAGGAAGTGCTGGAAATTGTAGGAAAGGAGGGAATTCAAAGGATCCTGGAAAGCTAAGGAAAGACTCCTGGGGGAGCAGGTGCTTCAGGGGGACCTAAAAGGGTGGGTAGGATGTAAACAGGCTCTGAAGAGACCTATGGGGAGAAGCTTCATTGCTCAAGAAAAGGGAGGAACCAGGAGAAAGGTGGTCATTTAGCAAGAAGACAGTGAGGGGGTCACACCTGGGTGTCACCTGGATCTGGAGCTCACTCCTGGATGCCCGTAAGTAGTGGGCTTCCAAATATACAGTGAGGCCATGAAACAAATTCTTATTAATCTTATCTCTTAAATAAATACATTCATGCAGGGAAACTATGCAGGATCTAGGCCACCAGGCGTGTGGTGTGGGCACTGTGGCAGGTACTGCAGGCTGGCTCCCTCGTCTCCATGCCAACCCTTGAAGGGGTGTGCTTGCCCCATGCCGGAGCCAAGAAGGCGTAGACTGCATGCCCAGACTCCCTTCGGCTTGTTCTAGATGCCATCAGGCAGGTAGCCGTGCGCCAGACCTGCTGCTTTTTGAAAGCGCAGTCTTCAAAGTACTTGCTTTTTTTTGAAGCAGTGGTAGCAAAGGTCCCAGAGTCTGGTCACTAGCTTCCTGGATATTGAAAGACATGGCCCCACCAAAAAAACAGAAAAAATAGAAAAAAGACATGGCATGGAGTATCACTTTTGCTCACGTAGATCATGGCCAACGTAAAGTGGTTCCAGGGTGAGAACTCCTGAGAGTATCTGGTTTGGGGCTCTCTCTGAACAAATACAAGGTTCAAAAGTCATTTTAGAATGCAAAGACAGAGTCAATTCAATAATTTTAAATGCTCCGTAAGCTTGATTTAAATTTAAAATCAACAAAACCAGGTCCTGCTGTAGGTTGGCTACTTGCAGGAGGTTCGAGGGTATGGTCCTTCTTTCTTTCCTCGGTCTTCTTTGTCCAGCTTGTTTGCCAGCTTATGATCCCTTGGGGAGTAGAGACAGGAGAGACTGGAAAGGGAGGGGAAAGGAGAGTTCTCATCTGACCGATCTTTGTAATATGGCTTTGCATTTTCTGGGTCTGGCAGATGTTTAAAGGTTACTCACTTTTGGAGTTTCTTTATAAGACCTTGATATCATGGTAGTGTTTCACCTGCAGTTTCTGAGCTGGGCAAACACATGCTCTTCCTGCAAGTCCTTCCTCTGCAAGCTCTAGGGAATGGGTGATCCCGCTCAGCTTCCTTTCTGTTGAGATTTCATTTTTCCTCCAATGACCCTAATGGAAGGAATCTAAGGTGGTTCTCCCACTGGCTCTCACGTTCACCCATGTAGCCCACATCCCAGTCACAGGAAATATTCACACGTTCCTTGTCCGCAAAACTCTGTGACTGCAGGTCCCTCATGGTAGAGCAGCAGCCCTCCTTCACTCTGCCACCACAGCAGCTTGCCAGCCCATCTCCCGCCTCTGGGTTTCCAGCAGGGAGTCAAGCCACATCCGTGCTGATTCTCTGACTGCCGGGGAAACAGGAAGCTACCCAAACGATTCCCTTGCAGTCCCTCTTACCCAGCTTGTGTTAGGTGTCGACTGGAAAAAACACACACAACCTGAAAGTTGCAAGTTATGTTTTATCCTGAGACCTTACTGAGAACTATATCCCAGGAGACAGGATCTCAGATAGCTCTGAGGAACTGTTCCAAACAGGTAAGGGAGAAGCCAGGAAACACAGGAGGTTTTGCTGGGGGGAAAAAAAACACAACTGAAACATACTGTCGAACATCAAAAGATTTCTGCTAATCACAAAGAAAACCCTGACATCTCAAGTTAATAATTTTAGTGCTTTTCTACGTATGGGAAGATAAAAGAGTCTGGGCTTGTTGAAATTATTCCTTTGACATGCATCTTAACTGTCTACGGCCAATATCCTGTTTTTCTCCATCCTGAATTCCCCCCAGCGTGCACCAAGTAGTGGGGTAGGGGAGGCTGCCGTGGCTGATGGCTGGATGGCTGCAACATCTTTTGTTTAGAAATGGTAGGTGACCTTGTCCACACAGAAATAGCCACCCTTCGCCCTTAGGATGGGGGCTTGAGACGCACAGCCCATCAGCAAATCCTCTCTCAGTCTCATCTCTCTACCATTTTAAGTCCTTAATAGGAGTGACTCATCTAATCAGCTCCCTGCTATCTCTGCCATCTACTTTGAAATTTCTGCAGAGTAATTGGTTTTGCAACTCACTGATCATATTTTTGCTTTTGCATTTTGAACATCTTTTTGCACCAGCATTCACCTCTCCCCACCTCTGACTTCTGCCTTCCCAAGAGAACATTGCATTTTGGGGGTTTTCATCCCATTTCTAGCTCCTTGCATGGATCCTGACAAGTATAATCCGATCATAGAACCTTCCATCCCTCTTACAGTGATTAGATCAGAAACCGTGGTTTAAACTAATCACGAAACTATTCTCCTGGTCTGTTATTGTCTCGGGTTGAGCACATGTCCTAAATTAGAACAGTTATATCAAACGGCAAGAAGTTTTGTCTCTATTTCACCTGCTTGGTATGAGAAAGGAGGTGTGTTGTAATAGTTGCTACTAGCAGCCTTCTTGTGGTCATGTGGAGAAACATCCTGACGACAATGCCAAGCCATAGAGGGGGCCAAAGCTGAGACCTGGAATCCTTTTCATGGTATGGCTGCGATCGCTCTACCTTTAGACTGCTTATTGTAAGAGAAAATAAATGTCCTTATTATTTTAGCCAATTTTAGTTAGAGTTTCTGTTATTAATGTGCAAAAGCTAATGATCTTTCATAGATTCCTATGTTGGGTTATGAGTTCTGAATGATTCCCTATGGAAATGGAAACACTCAGTGATGGAAAGCAATAATCGGTATAGCATAGGTCACTGGTTTCTTCCAAGTGACTTTTGGGAACCAAAAGACTGCCTCATATTTTGGGGAAAGGGAAGAGGTAAGAAAAAAAAATGTCAGAGGGACAAACACCCTGCTGAGACTATAGGCAAAACCTTTTCAAAGTAACTTCTGAAGTAATTCTCTATTATGGCTGCAGTTTTTATGTCCTAACTGCCTGGGCACTGTTAGCAACACCTGGGCAATTAATGTTATTTGAGATAATTGTATTACATACATTGCAGAAGTCCAGTATGCTAGATTATTTCCTTCCCAATGAAAATTTTAACCTAAATTTTATTAATATATGAAGCTAGTAGGTATTTTGGAAAAAATGCAAAAATATTTTATAGAAAGATATCAAATCAATATATGAACTTACGAACTTCATTTTTAATTAAATAATGTCTTTATGGGAAATTGTTGTTTCCTGCCAGCAAGGCTCTTCAGTTAACCATTTTGTTTTTATTCTATTAAAGTATTTAATTCTGTCAGTTTGGCCAATTACCTACACGCTCTGTGTATTTCTGGGAAGCTCAGGATCTCTTTGTGAGCATTTTGATGTGCTCAATGTGAAGAAATATGAGCATGCTGTAAGCAGTGCCACTTTGCTTCAAGCTACCTATAGCATCACTGATAAAAATAGACAGGGGTGAGACACGTCAGATGGCATCATCTGTATTACGGTTGGAGACATGATCAATAACCTCTGAACGTCTCTTGCATCTCCCCCTCCACCACTTTAGTTCAGACTTTCATTATCTGTCTGGATTACTGCAAAGCCACTGAAGTGGTGTCTTTTTAAAGTCCCGTCTTTCCCATCTTCATTCCAGCCTTCACGCTATCTCCAGATACATCTTACAGGCACACAGCTCCAGTCACTTCAGCTGTCTCACTCAAAAGCCTTTAGGGACCCTCGACTTCCAGCCAAAATCAGTGGCGTTCAGGCCCCTGCATGAAGCTGTATCATTTCAATCAACCAGACTGTTGGCTATTCCCTGACTATCCCTCACACCCTCACTTCTCTGAGCCTTGACTCTGAGCTTCCTCCTGTGATGACTGTTGTCTTAGTCCATTGGGCTACTAGAACAAAAATATCGTCGGCTGAGTGGCTTAAAAGACAAACACTTAGTTCTCACAGTTTTGGAGTCTATGTCCAAGATCAAGGCACTGGCAGATTTGGTGTCTGCGGAGGGCTCAGTTCCTGGCTCAGAGACACCTGTCTTCTCGCTGTGTCCTCACATGCACAGGGCCTGGATAGGGCTGTATGAGAAGGGAGGTCCATCACTGATAGAGAAGATCCAGAGGCTGCAGTGTAGGGGCAAACATCCAGGAGGGGAAGAGGGCAAGGGAACTCCCAGGAGAGGTGGGGGGGAGGGGGCTTCCGTGACTAGGTGATAAATCCCTGGGCTAGAGAGCTCTCAAGGGCCATAGCAACTTGGAATCTTAGAACCACAAGGCTCTGTCTTACCATGACCATCAGGTGTAGGGTAAGATTTTGCAGGGTGTACAAAGCAGTCAGGCTCTAAATGGCTAAAAATCTGCTTCGGGGGGCTAGTTTTTAAATGATTAGATGTGTAACATTTTGAGCATGATGCCAGTAGGCATCTGAACTAATAGATTTCAACCTGCAGTGAAGTAATAAACAAGCAAGCGGTCAATACACACAGACCATCTTTGGCTTATTTATTTAACATATTGGATGATAACTAGCAGTCAGTGCCACAGCAACCATGTACAAATTGAATTAAGTATTGAACATTCATAATTTAAGAAGTATCCAGCAAATGACAAGACGTACAAGACATAGCCTTTAGAGTTACAAACCAGGAAAGAAGGAAACCGAGTCTGTTGGTGATGGCAGTGCTTGGGAATGGAGAGCAGGGAGAAGACCGTGAGCCTGGATGTCCCACTATGTTTTCACTCAGAGTGAAACCATCACTCTCACTCCCCCTCCTCTCCCAAATGCATCCATGGGAATTCTCATCCGAGATAATGCTCAGTAGGATGGGGAACAGAGATCGCCTGGTGCTATGACCACACTAGATGCCCCCTAGTGGCTGCTGGGTAAGCTGTTTTCATGAAAGAACTTCCCTTCCAAATGAAAGAGATGAAAATGTTGGATAAAATGTACTATTCTTCCATGGGGTGGCGTACTATTAGAATTGTCTATGTAATCACAATTTAAAATGTCCCACAAGTTATATTATCCCCCCAAAAGAGTACATCTTTTTTGTTTTAAAACAGAAAGCTCTTACAGTTTGACCTCATTTTCTATAGTCCAGAGTTGATAAATACCTCAATTGTTTGCTTGTATATAAGTCCAGAAGCACAAAGATTCTTTGCAAAATGAGAGGTTAGCATATTAGAAATTCACAAGTCCCTTGAGAAGTTTCTGGGACATGAGTCAAAAATACAAGACTTATAATTACTGCTTAAAACTCCCTGGAATGTCTCCTAAGTCAGTTTGAAGAGGTGGTTTTAATCGCGTGGTCCTTGAATCCATTTTTTGTTCAACAAATATTTATTGAGCCCTTGCTCTGTGCCGGGCACTGGGCCAGCAAATGGAGACACGGCAGTGAGCAAGTTCAGCATGATTGCTGCCCTAATGGCATAGGGGATGATGCGGTGGCCATAAAGCTGCCCAAAACATTTGTCCCCAAAACTGAAGATTCTGACAAGGTAAGAAAAAAAATAAGGATTTTTACTGTTTTATTTTCTTCTGGTCTGGGCTTTCCTGAGGCTGAAACCAATTGACTCCAGTTGTAAATCCTGCTGGAGAGAAAGTGCTTATTTTTCTTTCTTTCTTTCTTTCTTTTTTTAAAGGGAATTGATAGCTGTGTAAGCATATCACTGGTCTGGAGACTTGAGGTGAAGCTCCAATTTGCTTGCCCAAGGTCCCTGATCAACCTCAAGGAAGCCAGTTCATAGAAGCCCCCGTTCTGACTTATCAAAATATTCACTTGACCTTGAAAATATTCTCATTGATGTCATGCAGCTAGCAAACGATAAAGTATTTGAACAAAATGTTTGCATCAGTGACTCCAAATTGACACAAACTCTGCAGGTTGTCTCTAGGATGAGAAATCTCTCGAAGGCTCCTTTTATTTAGTGCTCGCAGGGGTTTGTTACTCTCTGTGCTGAAAGACGACAAGCAGCATGTTAATTAAAGAACTGACATCCTTCAATTTACTCTTTTCTCCCTACTTGCCATGTTCCTCTTTCTTCCCTAACTCCCATCCCCACTCCCGCCGTCCCCAGAGAAGTGTAAATGAAAGGTTTCACAGTTTCACATGAATAATTTGGGGGCAGATACAGTTCTCTTCATCAACCACTATACAGTAAAGTCAAATCGGGTACCCTCTTATGTGAATTTTTGATCTTTTTAACACAGGAAAAAATCATTTTGATAAAGGTTAATGCCTCCTTAATATTTACACACTTGAATCATATTGAAAATGCGTTCTGAAATTCTGAAATCTTGAATTAATATGACAACGTGCAAAGATTGTGTGACACTATTTGTAATTCATTAGCACATACTCTACAATATATTAGCATCAAATGTGGGAGGCTCTGTCATGGTCCTGGCAAACCTGTAAGTTTCATCCTGGTTTATGGTCTAGCACTTTAAGATTCTGACATGGATGTCCAGAGACAATTCCAAATGATTCTTGCAGATCAGGAATAAATTAATTTATCCAGCAACCTGCTAGATATAATATAGTAGCCTGAGAAACATGCAGCCATCCAGCATATGTTTGTCTAGTTTCGAGCGGATTTTGAACACCAGACTGCCATCGTGGGAATGAATTGTGACATGACCCTGGTAAATTGGGGACTGCATCTGCTCTGTGGCACCTGGCATGTGTCTCCCTCACACAGTGAGTCTGCAAATGATTAATGGTCCCTACAATTCACTTCATTTTGAAACAGTGCCTGGGTAACCTCACGTGGATCAGCAACAGCTCCTGGAACAAGTGGAAATCTAACGGTGTCATAGATTCCATAAGTTCGTTCTGTGCTGATGCTAAAACCCTCTGGACTGTTTATTTTAATGACTTGTTCTCCTGGGAATCGGAAAACTAGTCTCCTACTGACAGATACACATAGTGTCCCAAATAGCAAATTAATGGCAATGCTTAATTACCTCAAATATTTATATCTTAGCTCTTAAATATACCCAAATCCCCCCCCCCACCAATCCTTGGGCATCGTAGAATATTCAGAGTTCCCTTGAACTTGAAAACTTTTGTAAGGAACACAGCCTAAGAATTTATGTTTAAAAATATTTATAAATGCCGTTTCTGGTTTGACTGTTATTACAGAGAAAGCTGAATGATCTGGATTTTGGAATTGACAGGGCTGCTTCGTGTTTATGATTAATCTCTGTGACCGGCCTACTTGGAACTGTAGTCTAATATTTTTGATCCATTGTATAGTGTGCTCATGTAAGTGTGAGTGTGTGAGTGTAGGTGCACATGGGCACATGTGTACAGATCTTTATGGAACAAAGCAAATACACTAGTGAATGCACACATGTGCTCTTGTCCTTGTGATCACTGTTGCCTGCACACGTCAGCTTGTTCTTGCTTCTCCCTTTGGGCAATGCCAGAAAGCTCTGCACTCAGCCTCATCCCTGCCCGGCTGCTCTGTCAGGATATTTCTTCCTAATATCCCTTTAATCCCGTCTCCAGGAATGTCATACTGCGTTTTAGTTGGGCACATTGCTACTCACCCAAATACACATTTTCCAGTCTTTCTTACAGCTAGGTGTGGACAAGTGACCTCATTTTAGGCAAGACATGCGTGCAATTGTGTGGTGTGCGTACCCTACCGTCGGTGGACCTCTTCCATCAACCTGCTGCCTAGAACATAACCTGATGACTTAGGCTCCAGCGGCCATCGTGTGCAAATATCAAGTGAGGTCCACACGGTGAGCTGGAAGGAGCCCTGCGCTCTGACACCTGGGGGACCTCGCTTGTTCTGGGCTGCCTATCTGCAGATTAACCTCTCTGTCTTGCTCAAAGCATTGTTTTTCCAGCTGTTGGTCTGCAGGCTGTATCCTAACAGATACAAGTGTCCTCGTCATTTCTTCCACACCTGCCCTGGATGCCGTATGTCCCCTGCTCTGCGCCCTGCCTTCCATGTTCTTCGTTGTGCTCCCAGGAGCCAGTTCCCGCCTGTGTGACGTCCTCGCCTGATCGTAGGAGGCCTGCCAAGATCTGATGACGGCCTCTGTCCAGCCTCGCACCTGCTGTTACTCCTGACCGTGACTCCAGGTTTTGGCAGCACTGCTGCGCGTCCTCACACTTGAGGTTTGTGTTTGTTCTCTCGGTCTGGAATGTCCTCCCTGTGCTCGACAACCTGGGAGACTCAGGTCTCAGCTCAGATGCTCACTTGCCTCTTTGAAATCTTCCTTGATTTCCCCAGACAAAGCAAACCCACATCTCCTTTCTCTTAGATGCACTGTGCTGGGTCAATTAATTGCATTGAAATCCTTTGTACCTCTGTCTCCATGCTGAACTGTAGGCTTCTCAAAAGCAAGGAATCAATTTTTTCTTCCTCGTATCTCTTGTAAAAAGGACATTATAGTCCCTTGATGTATGGAAACGGAATGAAAAGAAAAGCATGAATGAAGACTCAACTAGGAACCCATTCCATTTTGAAGAACTCCCCTCACTTTAAATACCCTAACTCCAATCCCTTGGTTTCCCAGGTGATAGAACCTCAATGTATTTTTTTAAAACCACACTAGAACTTTATAGTATATTGTTTTAAACTTTTTTATGTTTTTTCTTCTTTGTCTTGAATTTTTAGGGTAAAAAATAGCACAAAAGTATAAATAAGTTATTTTACACTAAATTAGTTTTAATCATGGCTACTGTGTATTTAGCATCTTACACTGTCAACTGGGCCCTACTAAGCACTGAGGAATGTGCTCTACATGCTTTATTCTACTTAATTTCTGCCATAATCCCATGAGGTAATAAGCACTGTGTTCAGATTCTTTTAGTTGTAAATGATAGGAATCCAGTCAATCTGGTTTAAGCAAAAAGAATGTATGGGCTCATGGAGCCCCAGGGTCTCAGTGTCGTGGTTTAGCTGGATCCAGGACTCAAACAGTGCTGGTAAGGTGCTGCTCCTGTCCCTCCCTCTGACTCTGTCCTTGTCCCTATGCCTGCCCATAACTCGATCTCTCTCTCTGTCTCTGACTGGGTTCCTGCTCCTAGCCCTAACTCCTCTTCCCTGCTCCTCTTCCCATCTCTCTCTCTGTAATCGCCTCTGTCTCCACCTCTAGCTCTATCCCTAGCCTTATCCCTACCTCTGTCTCTTCATACAGCAATCATGGTGGACATCAATACACTCAAACTTATTCTATCCCCTTAGCAACCCAAACAGAAAGGAAGCATCTTCTCCACGGCTCTACGAGTAAAACCCCAGAGAGCTGTCTGGTCGCCTTGTGTGATCTGCTTATCCTGAAGCTGAGACTGACTAGGGAGGAGGGTAATGTGATTGGCCAGGCCCAGGTCACACCCAGCCATGCCAATAGGACAGAGTGGGTTTAGCTCCTACCTGAACTGACCACATGGAATGAGTGTCCCTACAAGAAAGAGGGGCTCCAAAAGAAGGAGGGAAAATACCAGACAGGCAAAAATGGAAGATTTCTACCACGATATGCTCTCTCCTTACAGATGAGCAAACTGAGCTGAGAGAGATCATTTCATTTTCCCAAGGACACACAGGAGGTAAGTCATGGAACTGGGATTCAGATTCAGTTCTGACTCTACAGTCTTTGTCCCCTAACCACTCTGCTGAATTATGTTTCTTTATACAGTACCAGAAAGTAAACACTAAACCTTCAAAATGTAACTGATGATGAACCAGAAATAAAGAAAAATAATTAGCCCTGTCACAGCTAAGGCTGTGACCTGAATTGCCACCCCATATCCTTGCCAACCAAGTTAGGTCTCCTTACCAAAAAAGCATACTGTTCTTTTTTATACATTGTCCAAAAGCAAATAAACAACTAAAAACACATATGAGCCACTTTATGCCTTTAGGAAGTTTATTGTTTCATTTTTTAATCCTCTCAACAAAGCAGATAAAGAGGGAATACATCTCAATGTATAAAAGGCCATATATGACAGATCCACAGCTAACCTCACACATAACAGTGAAAATCCGAAAGCATTTTCTCTAAGACCAGAAATAAGACAAGGATGCCCACTCTTGTCACTGTTATCCAACATAGTATTGAAAGTCCTTGCCATTGCACTCAGAGAAGAAAAAGAAATAAAAGGCATCTAAATTGGAAAGAAAGAAGTAAAACTGTCACTGTTTGCAGACTGTTGAAAACCCTATAGACTTCACTAGAAAACTATTAGAACTAATAAATAAATTCAGTAAGGCTGCAGGATATAAAATTAATATACAGAAATCTGTAGCATTTCTATACACTAGTAATGATAATATTGGAAAGAGAAATTAAGGAAACAATCCCATTTACCATTGCATCAAAAAGAATAAAATATCTAGGAATAAATTTAACAAAGAAGGTGAGAGATCTGTACACTGAAAACTATAAGATGATGAAAGAAATTGAAGATGACACAGATAAATGGAAAGATATATTGTGCTCATGGACTGGAAGAATTAGTATTGTTTAAATGTCCATACTACCCAAGGTAATCTACAGAGTTAATGCAATCCCTATCAAAATATCAATGACATTTTTCATAGAACTCGAACAAATAATTCTAAGATTTGTACAGAACCATGAGAGACCCAAAAAACCCAAAGCAATATTGAAAAAGAAGAACAAAGCTGGAGGTATCACATGCCCTGATTTCAAACTATACTACTGAGCTACAGTAATCAAAACTGTATGGTACTAGGGAAAAAACAGACCATAGACCAATGGAACAGAATAGAGAGCCTCAAAATAAACCCACATTCACATGGTCAATTAATCTAAGACAACAGAGGCAAGAACATCCAATGAGGAAAAGAAAGCTTTTTGAAAAAATAATGTTGATAAAATTGGATGGTTACTCGCAAAAGGACTAAACTGGACCACTTTGCCACACCACATCAAAAAATAAATTCAAAATAGATTAAAGGCTTAAACGTAATACTTGAGACCATAAAACTCTTAGAAGAAAACAAAGGAAGTACAAATTTTGACATTTGTTATTAGCAAAAATTTTGGGGTTCTGTCTCCTCAAGCAACAGAAACAAAAGTAAAAATTTTTTAAATGAGACTATATCAAATTTAAAAGATTTGCATAGGGAAGAAAGCTATCAATTAAATGAAAAAGCAGCCTATTAAATAGGAGAAGATATTTGAAAATTATATATCTGATAAGAGGTTAATATCCAAAATACGTGAAGAAGTTGTACAACTCAATATATTTTTTTAAAAAAATCTAACAAAAGGGCAGAGGACCTGAATAGACATTTTACCAAAGTAGATATACAGATGTCAACAGGTACATGAAAAGATGCTCAACATCACTAATCATGCAAGTCAAAAGCACAGTGAGATACTGCCTCACACCTGTTAGGATGGCTACCATCAAAAAGACAACAAATAAGACGTGTTGGTAAGAATGTGGAGAAAGGGAACCCTCATGTACTGTTGGTGGGATGTAAATTGATGTAGCCACTATGGAGAACACTGTGGAGGTTCTGCAAAAACTTAAAAATAGAATAACCTCATGATCCAGCAATTCCACTTCTGTGTATTTACCTGAGAAAAATAAAACACTAATTTGAAGATATATTTGCACCCCTAAAATTATTGCAGCATTATTTACAAGAACCAAGATATAGAAGCAACCTAAATGCCCACTGATAGATGAATGGACAAAGAAGATGTAGTATGAAATATTATTCAGCCATAAAAAAGAATAACACTTTGCCATTTGTGACAACGTGTGTACCTAGAGGGTATTATGCTAAGTGAAATGAAATGAGTCAGATGAAGACAGCTATCATATGATTTCACTTATATGTAGCATCTAAAAAGTAAAACAAATCAACAAACAAAAGAAAACAGCAATGGATGCATAATTACAAAGAACAACAGGTGGTTGCCAGAAGGGAGTGGGTAGAGAGTTGGACAAAACTAGGTGAACAAGATTAAGAGGTACAAATTTCTAGTTATAAAATAAATGAGTCACAAGGTGTAACACACAGCATATAGGAATATAGTCAATAATAATGTAATAATTTCATATGCAACAAATGGTTACTAGACTTTCGTGGTGATCATTTTGTCATGTATTTGATTGCCAAATCACTGTGTTGTACACCTGAAACTAACAATATTTTATGTCAACTGTACTTCAATTTAAGAGAAAAAAAAAAAGAAGCAAAGGAGAAGGAAGAATCAAAGACAGTGCAGAGGTTTCTAGCTTGAGGAACAGCACAGATGCCATGGCTCTGTCAGGAAACCCTGAGGGAGCCCGCCTGTTGCTGTTCTACACATTTCACACTTTCATCTCATAGCTTCTTTCTCGGCCTTTACAATGAAGATGGTAGATTCAGAGAGAAAAAAGCATTCCTTCTATTCAATTTCATGTTCACCCTACAGCTGTTTAGGAAGTGATTTTTTGATGCCTCCCTCTCTACATAAAGCAGTGATCTAACCTGTAGAAATAGTAGAGAGGGTTATTAGATCTGTAATTAGTTCTCAGTTGCTCTACATTTCATAAAAAGCTTGAAAATAAATCCAGTTAAATTTTTTTTTTGATGCCAGGAGATTTTAACAGACACTGTGCCTGATGGATTTCAGTGTGCTTCCTGAAGCTTATGCAGAAACTCATTTTCATTATAGAACAAATAATCCCACCACTGTAGTAATAGAAATGAAAAAAAAAAAGAAAGAAAGAAAACTATGATAAAAGAGTGGCAATAAGTCCTTGCAAATGACTGTAAAAAATTGCCTGGATAATTCCGGTATTCTGTTTTTCTATCACAGAGCACTTCTGTTCTCTTCCTTTTAATAATTCCTTTTCTGAAGGTGTTCAAACCTCATTAAATTGTCCTGCTGTCACGGTAGCCTCATCTCCAAATGTGAATTAACTATATGTTGACTTGAAGGAACATGATTTTCTTATAATATGCTATGCCATTACTGCTAGTGGAGAGATTACACTACTTTGAACATTCTCAGGTAATAAAATTCTATTAATCATAGTGCTGTAAAGCTTCAAAGTACACCTTCATGTGAATGTTCAGAAACCTAAATGACTTGTTTCAACTGCAGCCATTTCACTGAAATAATAGAGTTCTATAGCGCTGACTTACATCCTTTAATTAAGATATGTGTCAGAATTAGATATACCAGGATGTAGGTTTTAATTCTGCATACAGTAAAACATATTCTGAGCCTGCTATCACTGAATTCAGAAATGCAAGTCCAGCCTTATATGAGGTTGAGTATTTCCTCTTAAGCCAAAAAGGGCAAAGGGTTTTTAACTGAAGACTCAACGCCAGTATACCTAGAAATAAATACTGGGAAGGATTCGGAGGCTGTTTCCAGGCTCTGGAGGGGATGAGCTCTGTTATCAATTAGTAATGTCTCCCACAGACAAAAAACAAAATGAGAGGTGGTAGCACTGTGGGGTGCTTTATACTCTTCAGAAGATGGTTCTTATTATCTCTTTGTTTTCTTTTGTTTCAATTTTAATCTGTATCAAACTTATATATGTACATGGTTAGAAAGCCCAAGAGAAAGGCAAAGGCTTATAATGAAAGACAGTAGTTTCGTGATCAACCTCTTCCCTTGATTTTCACTCCCAGAGGCAACCATTTGAAGTTCTTTAACTATTCTTTTGGTATTTGCCTCTGTAGTTCTGAGAGTTGTTATGTACCTGCAAGCAACAGACTGACTCCAGATATTAGATAACTCATGGTATCGCTAAGCTTCCAAGAATAACGCCTAATCCGTACAGCAGACTGCCCCGAAAAGGAAACACATTCTACCCCCAGTTGCCCCATGGCTGCCCACTCCGCTCTGGAACTCAACCTCCAAAGCTGAGGGATCCTGCCACAGCCCTCACTAGCCAAATGTTTTCCACGTGGGACCACCTTCCTCAGGTTGCTTACTTCCAGGTCAGAATCTCATGTGAGTGAGTCTGGTGGCAGATCCCAGGTCACAGGTGTCTGTGCTAGCTGCAGAGGACACTGGAACAGGACCTGGGGGGCTATTTTGGGGATGCAGGGTTCACTTGGCAGTATATTCCACAAATATAATAGGGTGTTGTTCCAAAGGCACTGGACAGCCTGAAAAGAAATGACAAATGTCTGCTGCAGCTTTCTAATGAACAAGTTTATTCTACTATTTATTAATTTTGTACTTTAGATATTTTCTAGGCTCTCCCCACTGTTGAAGATACATCGTAAGTCTCTTGAACACGGCACAGATTTCGCCTCCTTTATCTACCCATACATTTAGCTGTATCACATTTAAAGACTATTTTTATTGAAGTTTAGTTGATCTACAATGTTGTGTTTGTTTCTGGTATATAGTATAGTGATTCAGATATATATATGTATATACACATATACTTTTTCTTGTTCTTTTTCATTGTAGGCTATTACAAGCTATTGAATATAGTTCCCTGTGCTGTACAGTAGGTCCTTGTTGTTTATCTATTTTTATAGAGTAGTTTATATCTGCTAATCCCAAATTCCTAATTTATCCCTCTGCTCCTTCTTTCCCCTTTGGTAACTATAAGTTTGTTTTTTATGTCTGTGAATCTGCTTCTGTTTTGTAAATAAGTTCATTTGTGCCATTTTTAAAGATTTCCACATATAAGTGATATGTTATATTTGTCTTTGATTTATTTCACTTAGTATGATAATCTTTAGGTCTATCCATGTTGCTGCAAATGGCATTATTTAATTCTTTTTATGGCTGAGTAGTATTCCATTGTGTGTGTGTGTGTGTGTGTATACATACCACAACTTCTTTATCCAATAATCTGTTGGTAGACATGTAGGTTGCTTCCATGTCTTGGCTACTGTAAATAGTGCTGCTATGAAATTGGAGTGCGTGTTTCTTTTCAAATTAGTTTTCTCTGGATATACACCAAGGAGTGAGATTGCTGGGTAATAAAAGTCTATTTTTAGTTCTTTAAGGAATCTCCAGACTATTTTCCATAGTGGCTACACCAAATTACATTCCCACAAATAGGACTGGAGGGTTCCATTTTCTCCACACCCTCTCTAGCATTTACGTTTGTGGACTTTTGAATGATGGCCATTCTGACTGGTGTGAGGTGATATCTCATTGTAATTCTGATGTGCATTTCTCTGATAATTAGCATAGCTGTATCACATTTTTTTTAATAGATGAGGATTTGGGTTTGTGTAATTTTGTCTTTGTGAATATTATTTTTATCTTAGCCAAGTAATTTATTATATTCTTTTCTTGTATAATGTTATGTTTTCCCTGGAATTAATGAACTCTTTTTATTTGATAGCTTTCTATATACCTATCATTAATGCATTCTAAACTTTATTCCAGAATTGAAATTTCTTGTATCATATTTTAAATTTTCTAAGAGGTCTATTTTGTTTTCTAAATGTTCTTTTTATAATTTGTGTGTGTGTGTGTGTGTGTGTGTGTGAGATGGATGTAATACAGGGATGTAATTATCCCTGAAGATAACTATCATTTTTTTGTTTGTTTTCATGCTTCCTACGTTGTTTCATCTGTTTCACCTTTTTCTATTTGTTTTGGTCTCTCTGATGTTAAAAGTTTCCCCCAAATCTCTCATCATTCTTATTTTGGCTCATATTTCAGAAAGAAGCCTTAAAATTGTGAGAGAGAGTAGGACTTATTAAAGACTAGGCTTCGCTGAAGGATAATTGAGTAGAACACAGCCATTTCATTAGATGTCTCCCAAGTGTCAAGTTTGTTTTTCTCATTTTCTTCTTTGGCTGATCACTTTCCTCAGAGAGGAATCCTCCAACCTCCTGCCTTTAAATACAGCTGCCTGCACTATTTACAATAGCCAAGACGTAGAATCGGCCTAAATGTCCATCAACAGATGACTGGATAAAGAAGATGTGGTAATACTTATACAATAGAATATTCTTCAGCCATAAAAACCGACTACATAATGCCATTTGCAGCAACATGGATGTCCCTGGAGAATCTCATTCTAAGTGAAGTAAGCCAGAAAGAGAAAGAAAAATACCATATGAGATCGCTCATACGTGGAATCTATAAGTAAATAAATAAATAAATACAAAACAGAAACAGACTCACAGACATAGAATACAAACTTGTGGTTGCCAATGGCACAGAGGGTGGGAAGGGACAGATTGGGATTTCAAAATGCAGAACAGATAAACAAGATTATACTGTATAGCACAGGGAAATATATACAAGATCTTGTGGTAGCTCACAGTGAAAAAAATGTGACAATGAATATATATATGTTCATGTATAACTGAAAAATCGTGCTCTACCCTAGGATTTGACACAACATTGTAAAATGACTATAACTCAATAAAAAATGTTAAAAATAAATAAATAAAGACAGCTGCCAGCATCCTAAGAGCTGAGCCATGGAGGAGGTTATTTGGAATAGAGGCTTTCATTCAGTTCCTCAGTATGACACTCCGTCCTTCTCTTTGCCAAATAAATGCCCTAAGTCCAGAGGCTTCTGTTTTGACATCTCCAGAGAGTAAATGTCCACCTTTTTTCCAGATTCAGGAAGAGGCAGCTACCCAGCTGGGGAGTGGCACAGAGGAAAGGGTCTGGGTGGGCCCTGTGTAGCTGTTCAACCAACGCTCTTGTTTTGCTCTCTACCTGTTCCTTTACATTTTGATGAACTTGGTGGATTCAAGTCCAGAGCTTTCTTTTTGAAAATCTCTCGCATGAGTTGACATACTTCTTAGCTTTGGCCCTTGTAGACTTAGATTTCAGCTTCCCCTGGTCTATGAAGTCAGTCACCACTCATCCGTTAGCTTTCCAGCTGCAAGAATTACACCTGTCTTCTTTCGTGTTCTCTCTCCTCCTGTCCCCTTTCCTTTCTCTCCCCCTCTTCTCTCTCTCATTCTCTTTCTCTTTAATCCCTCTCTCTTTCTCCTGTTTTCTCTCCATCTCTATCACCTCTCTTCTTCTCCCTCAATGTTTGTGTATGTGTGTGTGTGTGTGGTGTGGTGTGGTGTAGTGTGTGTCTATCTCACCCTTTATTGACATTGTAGTGGAATTTCAGGAAAGAACAGTAGGGAAGGTATATTTGAATCTGCTGTATTTCTGTGTTAGTCAGAAATCCTTTGTACATGTTCCTTCTTTTTTTAAATATATTTTTATCGAAGTATAGTTAGTTTACAATGTTGTGTCAATTTCTGGTGTACAGCATAATGCTTCAGTCATATATGAACATACATATATTCGTCTTCATATTCTTTTTCACCATAAGTTACTACAAGATATTGAATATAGTTCCCTGTGCTGTACAGTATAAATTTGTTGTTTATCTATTTTACATATAGTCGTTAGTATCTGCAAATCTCAAACTCCCAATTAATCCCTTCCCACCCCCTTCTCCCCCTGGTAACCATAAGTTTGTTTCCTGTCTATGAGTCTGTATGTATTCTTTCTTAAAATCTTGTCAACACTTACCCTGTGATTCAATAGGCAGAATTGAAATTATGTTTTTCACAACTTATATGGCTGCTTTTATCCACTTTCAACAAATCAAATCTTCAGTGCGTAAGGCCTCATCTCTGTTCTCTTCTGATCTCATTTCAATGTTTACAACTGAAAATTAAACTTCTCCCTGTTATGCAGACTTGCTACCTTCTAATTATATAAGCAACACTTGTTTATTTTAGCAAGTTTGGAAACACAGAAAAACACAAAGAAGTAAAAAACACCATTTATAATTCAGTTTTTTGACATAATACGTACAACTCACTCCTCTTCTGTCCCATTGGGCTCATTCCCCGCCACCTACCACACCTCTGTAAGCATTATCAACATTTTAATCTGTAGGCATCTAGTAATTTTTATGCTTATACCTACGTGTGCAAGGTTAGATTTGTTTCTCCCAAAATACAAAATCATGCCATACATATCATTATAAAACTTGCTCCATTATTTCTTAATGATATATTAACAATACTTTTTGAACTTAGATTTTTTTTAACATACATCATTATTTTTAATGGGTATCGAGGTGGTTTTGAAATACATTCATAAAACAAAGGAAGTCTACTAATTCTTGATATTCCTTTCCAAAAACTAGAACCTAATTCCCCTCTCCTGAGTGTGGGCTGAACTTAGTGACTCACTTCTAATGAATGGAATATGGAAGAAGTGACAGTGTGTGTGACTCCCTAGACAAGATCATAAAAGACATTGCAGCTTCCTCTTTTCTTTCTCTGTCAGATCACTCACTGCATAAGAAGCCAATTCTGTGTGATGAGGACAGCAGCTCCAAAGAAAGGCCTATGTGGACATAGGAACGTAGGTCCCATGCCAACAGCCAGTGAGGAACTGTGGCCCTCTGCCAATACACATTTGAGTGGCCCATCTTGGTAGGGGGTCCTCCAGCCCCATTCAAGCCTTTAAGTGAGTGCAGTCCTGACTGACACCTTGACTGTAATTTCATGAGAGCCCCTGAGCCAAAATTACCGAGTGAAGTTGCTTCCTGATTCTTGACCCATAGCAACTGTGATGTAATAAATGGGTGTCATCAGCTATACTTTGGAGTCATTTGTTACATAGCAGTAGATAACTGATGCTGATTTTGATACCTAGAAGTTGGGTGTCTAACTTCTAAAATACCTAAGTATTTAAGTACCTAAAAATGTGGAAATGGCTTTGGAACTGGGTAGTGGCCAAAGTCTGTAAGGGCTTGGAGGAAGTGTCCGAAAGTGTTAAGAGAAGCCTGATAAACTTTGGGAGGCTGTGGGAAGGACTTAAAGGAAAGGGAGGGATAGCTTTAGGGAAACTGGAGAAAAGGGTATCCGTGTTATGCAGTGGCAGAAAGTTTAGGAATGCTGTCCCCTGTGGTCATATGGAAAGTAGGAAAATGTACCTAATGAGCTGGGTGATCTAGCTAAGGACACCTCCAAGTGAAGTGCTGAAGGTGCCACCCGGTTTCTTCTTGCTGTTTATAATAAAATGTGAGAGGAAAGAGAGAAACCAATGAAAGGATTGTTGAACATGAAGAAGCCAGAACTGGATGGTTTTAAAATTCCCAGCCTTTCCAGATGGCATCCAAGCTAAAATTAAGAAATGGCTTTCCAGCAATAATCCATTCCAGGCCACTGCCAAGAAAACACGTTTAGAGATGAGGCTAAGAGTATAGCTATAAAATGCCTTGCTTATGACCTCAGAAAGATCTAAGATGGTGCCCCCAAGAACTGTTCAAACAACAGAGTTTTGAGGATGCTTAAGGCTATTATCCTGCCATAGTTCAGCAGAAGCCCAAGGTAGAGGAGAATTTACCTTGAAGAGATTTTTGAGTGTGGCTTTTGTCTAATGAAGTGAACCCTGATAAGATTCATAGGAGACCCCCAAAGTTTCTAAGAAGAATTATAATTACAGAAATGACACCAGCTTAGGCTGAAGGAGTCAGAGATAGGACACAATGAAAGGAGGCATTTGGAATGCCAAAATTTTGCTCAGAAAACTACACAGCTCCAAACTAGGCCAACTTTGAGGGAAAAGAAAGAATGAATCAGAAAAGGGAACCAAGAATGCAGAGGGTGAAGCCAAGAGCCATGGACACTCATTCCTGGGGAGGAGTAGAGTTTGAATCAAGAAACTTCTAACATGTGGCCGAGTAGATTTCAGAATTGCTATAGGACAGTGATGGCTTTGGGTCTCCCATTTTTTAAGTCTTTTTGAACAAAAATGTCTAGAGTGGTTATCCTGTGCCTGACCTGTACGTATACAAGTTATTCCCTCATGTGTGTGTGTATAGATGGATGGATGGATAGATAGATAGATAGATAGAAAGATAGATAGATAGATAGATAGATAGATAGATAGATAGATAGGCAGACAGACAGACACATCAATACATACATAGATAGAACTTGTCTCTTCAGCTCACAGGGCTTGAGACCTAAGGAACCATACTCAAGGAGTTGCACTTAAGGAATGACACTTGAGAAGCCTCAGCCTCACCTGGACCTGATTAAGTTGACATGTTTCTGGACTGATGCTTACATGGATGAAACTTGGGGTTGGTGGGGAGGGTGTTGGAAGGGGATGAATATATTTTGTATGTGAAAGTAATTTTAATCTGTGGCCAGAGGACAAATTGGAATAGTTTTAGTATATGTCCACAAATCATTCAACACCCTTCGCTCCAAAAACAGAAAGAAAGAAAGAAAGTAGCCTAATTAACTTTCCCTTGGGCTTAGACTGGACTTGGTGACTTGGTGCTAATGAATAAAATATTATAAAAATGATAATGTGTGACTTCCAAGAATAGGTCATAAATGTCATTACAGCATCCTTCTTGCTCTCTCTTAGATCATGTCTCTGGAAGAAGACAGCTGCCATGTCATGAGGATGCTCAAGCAGCAACTTGGAAAGGTTCATGTGGTCCAGACGAAAGGGACTGAGGGCCTCTGCCAACAGACATGTGGGCGAGCCATCTTGGAAGCAGATCCTCCAGTCCCAGTCAAGCTTTCAAAGACTGCAGTCCTGGCCAACATCTTGGCTATAAATTCATGAGAGACGCTGAACCAGAACCACCCCCACCAGCTAAGCCAAAACCAAATTCATAACCCTTAAAGAAATGTGAGATAATAGATATTTGTTGTTTTCAACTGCTAATTTTCAGGATGTTATCCAGCAATAATACATAATGAATATAGGCAGATGCTATCCTGTTGTTCTCCCCCTTCCTTTTTCACGATTATCAGCAATATTGCAACAAAACCTCTTTGTACATCTGTGTTTATGTCCTCAAGATATTATTTCTGTGGGATAAATTCTTAAAATTGGAATTTATGGCTTGCACATATTAAATTTAGGGAGAAATTGCCTCCCTTCCAAAATTGTAACAGTCTATTCTCTCCCAAACAGTTGATGAGAGTGCCTCTATATCTTTGCTAATTTTAAATGTTGTCTGTCTTTCTAATTTTTCTCAGTCTTATCTGATATTTTTGTTAGTTTGTATTCTTTAACTCTTGGTGAAGATAAGCATGTTTTTGTATGTTTATGATTTTAAAAAATCACCTCACTTATTTCAGATGAAATTTTCTTTGCATGCTCCTACCCCTTGCTCTTCTACACTGCTTGCCATATAGTTCACATTACATAAATGTGCCGTTTTCAAATGGATGAATGATAGGCTAGTAAATGCAATGCAGATGTGCAGAAAGTCTTCATTTAACTCCATGGGATTGACTTTTAATTGGGAAAAAATATCTTAGCAACCAATTAATTTAATTATCTTTCCTTTACCCTTTATCAATATTTAATTATCATCCAGGTGTTCTCTAAGATCTTCATTTTATAACTTGTTCAGGTTAATTTGTTTCTAAAAGTGGCCATATACTTTTTCTCTCTGAATATTTTAACAATAGCAGGTTAGTTATATAACAAATAACTATAATGATAGTAACAACAATATGATGATGCTAATTCCAATCATTCTTGGGTACTTACTGCATGACAAGTACATTATATACATCACTGACCTAATTTAATATTTATTACAGCCCTGTAACAATTGTTATTTCCCACCATAGAACTGAGGAAACGAAAATTCAGGGAGATTAAATAAATTAGCCACAATCATATAGCTACTAAATGATACAGTTGGGATTCAGGCTCTTGTCTGTCTGAATTCAAAGCCTGTATTCTTTCTGTAATGCTCAGCTGACTTTCTCAGAAATAAATCATTTGTATAGTTGTACTGTCATGTTGTTATGTTCAAAGAAAACCGACGGTTCAAGCAAATAATTCCAGAGTTTTATTTTTATTTTTTACTGAAGTATAGTTGATTTACAATGTTAAATTCTACAATTTTAAATGATGAACATTGAAATTATATTTTTTCCTGCCTGGAGGGCACTGCTTACTGCTATTGATTGTTTTTGCAGAAGAATGAGCATTTTCCTTTCCTTCATTGTTAACAAACTTAATTCAGCCATCAGTGGGTAAGTGACTCAGGCCCAGTTAAAGTGAGAGATGCAATTGGAACGTTTCACAATGAAAAGAGAGAAAAAGAAAATGTGGTATCTTTTCACAATGATCCTCAGTCCCTACCATCTAAAGAGATATGTCAAGCGGAGATAATTATTCCAGTGAGCTCAGAGATAGGATTGCATAATGAATTTCAACACAACACCATGATAATGAAGTGAATGCCTTCTGTACAAAGCAGTTGACAAACTTTCAGAGATAATTTGGGTTTCTGGATGTTGAGGTTACCATAGACTGAAGGTGAGTATACTTTTCAGGTGACATCCCAAAATGTTCCAGCAAAATGATGTAAATTTATTTTTTATAGACGATCACTCCCTAAATTGTCAAAATTTGTTTTCTAACAAGCCTTCTGTAGAATCAAGCACTGTGGAGTGTGAGTAGGTGGTGGTAAGCAGCACTGCGTGAGGACACTAAGAACTAGATTTCATGGTATATATATTTCTCTGCTTCCTTTTCTGAAACATATCTAAGAGGTTTCATAATTTTAGTCCAAGGAAAGGAAAAGAGAAAAATGCTTTGGTTTTCTTTTTTTTCCTGTCGAATGTGGCAAACTCCCATTGCCTCAATGCTGAACTCAGATGCCTCCCGGAATAGCATTTTATTATAGGCATAACAATTCACATTCAGTGGCAACAGTGACCACGCTAACATGCTTTATACCGGGAACAAAAA